TATATCTTACTTCATATCATGCTAAGTGATTCCTGGTAGTACTAGCTGCATTAACAAACAACTTACATGCAGCTAACGTCTCACTAAAACTCAAATCTTCCAACTGTCCATGAATTGTCATTCTACTGACACTACAACTAGAAACATTACAAATTCCTTCACAAATATTTTTGAGTGATTCTAGGTGGTTTTGTTTCATGACTATGAAATATTCTATGACTCCTTTTGCAAAGCTACACGGCTAACGAGATATGGTTGAGCAGATATAAATGCTGAAGTTTTCAACTTCATAATATCTCGGACAGTTGAACACGCCACTTTAAATATAGACAAAATTTTACAAAAATTTTTGCCAATTTAAGCAATAGACCCCTTTTCGCTTTGCAAATTTAACTGGGCTGACATTTTTCATTTCATATGCTAAGGTTTGCTATGAAGTCTCTGAAGATGACTATTTGCTTTCATGTCTACTTCAAGATACACAGTTAAGAGGCAACTTCACAGAAAGATTTAGATATTTTTGATCACTTAGAGTATATTTAAATAACACACATTGAGAAACAGAAACAGCATAATGATTAACACTACACCAGAACTAAATTTCTGCACAAATCACAGGAACACTCTGCGGTTACCACTTAAAAGCATCATCTTTCTTCACAGTAAAACTCCAACTATGAAAACTAAAAAAAATTTGAAAGTGATTTCTTTATTCAATTTTGTTTTTATTCCTCTTTTTATTTATTTATTTATTTATTCAATTTTGGGAAGAGGAAATTTTGTTTTTTATTTTAAGAAACTAAAAGCATTCAGTTTCTTGTGATAATAAAAAAAATTAGCTTTCATTTCTGCAATATATTACCATATGCACATATATTATGCATACAATAGGGACATACATAGTATGCATCATAATATAATACATATGTGTGTTCAGTTTCAATATCTTCAAGCTCAAATAGGAATTTATTATCAGATGTTTCTACATAGTTTTCATGTATTCCATAGAGTACTATTTCCATAATTTTCATGTATTTCATAAAACTATTAGTTCTGAAGTAATATACTGAACCACAAACTGATTGCTATATTCAGAAGGAATAATATAATAAGGAATAGCTTTAATACTATAATTTAAAATAAATATACAAGTAAATACACTTTAGAATAAAAAATACACATTTAATGAAAAACAATTTTAAAAGGCATTGAACACCTCTAAAGGGAACAGACCTTAGGCACACAGGTGCAGTAAGATAGGATGGATGAAGAAATCACAGACAGTAAAGGGAGATTGTCAATAGTCTTCTATTTAAAAGTGAACTAATGTTAATGTCAGATTACAGATCTTGCAAGGAGTGTGAAGTTTCCTTTCTGATAAAAGACAGGGAAGGTGCATTGCATATGAAGAGGCATAGACTGCTATAGAACATAAATACCTACATCACACTATCTTTCCTTAACAGTTTTTCTGGGCAACATGCTGAAATACACTGGTGTGAAGTTCCATGAAATTTGTAGCAAAAGTTTCAAAATTAAACATACATTTTAATTTTTTTCTTCTTGTTTCCAAGATCATGGTTATATAAAGGCAGAATGTTCTGTAATGAAAAAAATAAAATATCAACAGAGAAAAACTTAATGATGATTTGAAGGTTAGTCTGTCAATCATAACACCACTTTTAATAAACTACGAAAAATATTGAGAGAGATTAGAAAATGCACAAGCAGTAAGCAAAGAAAGTGCATATTATAATGGCAATAAAAACAAGAATTAAAAATCTAGACTATTGTCACAAGATGATAGATGTTCAGATTTGGTGTGTCAGCAGCCAAAAAGTTTGCAAATCTCTTCCTTACAGTAAGCAAGAGGATTTTTCTTCAGCCACAGAAAGAACCTTAAATGTCTAACTTGTTTTTCATGTCTCCCTACATTACTATCTCTTTCATATGTCTACATTACACTACTAATATTTCTCTCAGAAGACTCTACTAATATCTCTCCAATGTCTTTTTAAATGCCTATATTATATTTCTACCTTCTGATGATTTCGGTGAGTATTTGACCTTCTAAGCAAATCTTTGTTAATATTCTGCATAGGGCCATCTCCAAGTATAGGCAACACAGGCAGTTGCCTAAGGCACTGATTTTCTGAGGGCAACAATTATGTTATTCTCAAAAGTGCCAATAAAATACAGTTTTTTTTTTTTTTCTGTTGTTGTTTTGTTTTGAATTATTAATTTGTTTTAACTTACACAGGGCACCAACAGTACTAATCATATAGTGCACTGAAATGCTAAAACCATGCCTGACGTTGCATTAAATCTTGCATTTTTATGTGATGTTTAATTATTATTTTCTTTGTAATATTATTTAATACTTTGTAAGGCTATTATTTAAATTAATCAGGTATTATGATTTCAATCATATTCTATAACTTCTTTTTTCATTTTTATCATTGCTGATACCTTGGTTTTGACACTTCAGGTCAGAATTACTGAGCCAGCTTAGAGTATAATTTAATCATGTAGTCTAGACCAGTGGTCGTCAAACCTTAGAACTTCCCAGACCACTACATATATAATTTTACATTTGGCAGACCACTAATATGAATTAAAAAAAAATTAAGACCTTAAAAACAACATATTAATATGCAAAAAGAATATTAAACATTCTAATATATATTCTAATATGTAATTCTAATTTTCATTTGTTAATAATAATTTTCGAAACATTTGGTGTTCAGCAGCATGCCTGTATGGAAATTCAGGCTACACCCCCAATTATGAGTGACGATTAAAACATTATTAACATCTCATTGATACACATTTTTCATTCACATTGAAAAATTATATAGAAAGTATAATTCAGGAGCCCGCAAGCACAAAGCAATATCAATAAACTGTAAGTGTTATGCTGCCAATTTTTATTTATTGTAAACATAATAAACATCTCTTACTCAGCAATGGAGCCATCAATCAACAGTTAGACAAAACAAAAATGGAAACTTCCAGTGATGCAATTATAAACAAAAATGCAGATGGTTCTCATAAAAATCCATCAAGTTGCCTACTGACACAGAGAAAAACTGTCGACTACAATAGCATATGTTTGCAATTCAGAAGGAAAGATAATTCCAGTTCGCACTATTATTGATAACAGCAGCATATCCATGGATGCCATATCTCCCTTCCAAGTGTCGGTAGATACACCTGCAAAAGTAGCTAAAATGTCGCTAAATTCAGAAGGAATTTCGCTTATAGTAGTAGCTAAAATATAAAAAAAAAAAGTATAAGCCATATCCTGTAATAGGTTTTGTTACTCGTCATTTTTTAAACTGAATCTTCATAAAAATATAGATAATGTCTCAATTTTTCTGCGGACCATCAAAACGTTTTCACGGACCAATAGTAGTCCGTGGACCATCGGTTGGTGACCGCTAATCTGGACTACTGTTTCATGCTTAACTTGAATTTGACTGTTCAATTGAATTGCATCAGAGTTGCAACTGATTTCATAAGTACAAGAAAGTGCATTCTAAATTCTGTTCAAATAAAAATGTTGTTTAAACCTTTCCCTGGCTTTATAATTATTCCAGACAATTCACTTTATGTCTGTTGGGGTTATTGGATTAATTAGCAGTTCCAAATAAAGCAAAATCCCATAACTTTCATTAAACATCATAAAAATATTCATTCCAGATTCAATTAAAAATCTTCAAAGCATCAAGATTCGATAGATATTAGAATTGATAGACAGATATCACGGAATCAGAGTAGAGATTATATGATAAGAAATATTTACTCAAAAACATAAGTTACACAAAAAAAAAAAGTGGAAACAATGGAGACATGAAAATAGGAGTTGGACTCATATTCATATTTTTAAAATACAGTGCACTAAACATATCACAGAAATGAGATTCATTGCCCAAATGTTAGCAGAGCATTTGTACTATTTTCAAATAAAAAATAGATAAATAAATAAAAGTGAGGCAACACTTTCTTAAAGCACTTTTTAGGAAGGGTTAATGCCTGTAAAGCAAGTACTATGCATTCATAGATCTGTCTTCCAGTAAGACTTTTTATGATTCCTCCAACTGTTCAATTTCAGCAGGCCATAAAGTCTTAAATGTATACATTTTGCTAAAGGAAACCAATAATGAAATAATAACTCAATAAGAGTCAATGACAGCTTAGAAGGTTTCTCAAGACCAGTGCAAAATACTCATTACATGCTATTATAAATATAACTGGCTAGCTGATGAGAACCTACATTATTCAATACATTCTTTCATGTCAGAATGGAAGATAACAAGACTGCTCATAAACTAACTGTGCAAGGAAACTATGCATTTCAATAATAATCTCGCCCAACAAATCTTGTTATCCTCGGTGATAATAAAGCCACACTAATATTCAAGTTGAAAGTAATTCCGCATGAAAAGAAATTCAAGTATTTTAAATTAATGCCAGCAAAAACACTACTCAAACCATCAAGCCAATAGATAATTTGACATCATAAGGGAATGAACAGCAACTTTAATGACATAAAAATGTATTCTAACGAGGGAAATTGTTCTGCTACTGAACTTACTCCAGATCATATTTAAACTTGGCAACAATACTTGCAACATATTCTTCTCCATACTCACTCCACAATTCCATATTAAATCTGACATCGTTCTTTACTAATAACAGATGAGAATTTTAGGATCATAATTTAGCTATTGATTACCTAAATTATTAAATATATTATCAATAACATATAACCTTTAACAGATAATCAATCTATACAGTGGCATATAAAGCCTTTGAATATAATATAAAAATACTAAAATTAATAAACAAAAAATTGTTTAAAATAATAAAATTTTTAGATAGCATAATATTGTACAAGTAATAAATAATTCAAAAATTAAGCAGAAAGGAACTCCAAAATAAAAATTTGGGGGGAACAAGAATTTGAATTTATTTACATGAATAATATTATTTTCAAAATTACTAATAAATGGTTTCTTAATATTTATATTACACATAAAATAATCCACATAGAAGAGAAATAAAGATATATATATGTATTGACATATATATGCATTATTAAGAGTAGAATATTTGACTTTAAAAGTTATCACAGAATACAAAATTAAACGATATTTATGCACACTTTATATAATAATGCAGTCTCTTGGAATAGTTTCTGAGCAGAAAACGAACAATCATCTCCCAATTAACCAAGGGTGGATTAATTGGGCCTAGTCTAACAAAATAAGATTGTTTGTTGCAGAGTGATAGAAAAAATTACTATTATAAACCATCAGAATAAATCAAAATTTCTATGGGAAATATGAAAAGGAGAAGAAAATAAGTCGGATAACAGCAATGATAGTAGTTGGTGTCCCATTATTTAAGAAATGTTTTTATGCATAACAGTATGTGATTAGGAATATATAAGTCACAGTATGTGATTAGGAATATATCAGTCACAGTATGTGATTAGGAACATTGTTAAATCATTCATTAACAAATTAAAATGATAAATCATAAAAATAAATTTAGCGTGCAGCCATTTATCTTCACTTTCTACCGATTCCTATTGAAATAAAAGAGCAATATGAACAAAAACATTGTTCTTGCTGTTTTCAAGTGTGTTGTTCTTATTTTAAGTACTGATTTAATTTACAAAATCAAATACTACTTGAAAATATAGGTAAATTGTTAGCAGTACTTTTTGGTTAATTATAATATGGAAATGATTCCTCTTTCCTGTGTTTTTTAACTGCTGTTCAATTAAATGTAATCTTAGGTTAACTATGGACAAGTTAAATGGGAGTCTATTGTCTTGTAATGGGAGTCTACCAAACAAACTTAAAATATCCATTAAAACTGATTAGTATCTTACATGTGAATCAATATGATAAATTTTAAGATTATTTATATACATAAATTAAATGAAATGCCTTTTTGATAAAAGACATTAAGTATGACACATTAAAAACTAAAATAAAAGACCTAAAATTATAATAACCAGTATCACGAGATACACTTTCTGGTTCCTCAAAAACAATACATCAACTTGTAAAGTACTTTTATGTGTGACTAGACATAAAATATAAGATAACTAATAAATGGAAAAGACTATTTCTACTGATGTAAACTCAAACAGAAAATTATTTTCAAAAAAAGTGATTCTCTTACAGATGAGAAAAGTTATTTTCCTTGAATTAATCCAAATAACTTAGGAACTCATTTTATGAAAAGAAATAAATTACATTCACATAAATTAGGAATTCATTCTGCAGATAGGATTAAATTATGTGTATAAAATTTTAAACCAAGCTAAATAAGTTCTTTAGTTTAGAAGTTAGGTATTCATCTTTAAACTTTTAATACTAAATTTATAACAAAAAAAAGGCGGATTTGCAATTAATCATTAAATGGATATAAATATACAGCTTACTTAAATTACTTCAAATACAATTTAACTGAAATGAATTTCACTAAATAGGAAATAAAAAAATAAATAATAAATAATAATAAAAAAAAATAAATTTCACTCATAAAATAAAATAAATAAATCACTAATTAAAAAGTGGTGTGGACTTCTGGACTTTATGGATAACTCCAGAAAACTCATCTTAAACCAGCACGGATTGAAAGCTAAGGAAAAAAGAAGAGGAAAAATCATGATTTGAAAAAGAGGCTATATGTTATGTACATATTTAACGCATTAAATATTATATATAAAGGCAAAACTATGGGGGAAAATTGACTGAATTTACATTAGATACAACTTTAAAATCAATTTTACTAATATACAGAGCTTTACAGTAAATGAAGCTCTAGAGAACACACAGTACCATAATTTTTTCCCCTATATTATGTTACTAAAAACGACAGTATGTTAACTGAATACATGAGTATGTAAATATTCCTGCATACACAAAACAATTTTATATGGGAATCTATGGTTATTGAATTTGTTTAAGGAAGAATATGTAAATATTTCTGCATACACTGAATAATTTTATACAAGCTTCTATGTTGAATAAATTCCCAAGAGGAATAATACATAAACATTTCTGAAAACACAGAATTATTTAGAAAGCATTCTAGCAGAATAATTTTATAAAACTCTCAGTTCATTTACATTTTAAGACAACATAAATATGACTAGATATATTTATCAAATTTCCCAAAGTCATTTATCTAGAAATATTTTTGAGACTTTCTAATCACATCACTAATAATAATTAAATTTTATCAAAAATTTTGAGCAAGTAGAAGATTGTCCAAGCAAATTTAAAATGAAGTTTAGATAGATTCTACAGTTCAGATGAATATATGCTAATTATGATGGTCAAATAAACCGAATAACTGGTACTTTCCCATTAACCACTGTACCAAAAAAATACTTTCTTGCTAAGTGTGACAAGTCGGCAAATGTAATCCTACAAATTAAATCTTACTTGCCAACACCTCATATTCACTGCTACTGTCTTATATTAAGGAAAATGATCTTTTATTTTTATTTACACATTGGTGCATTATATTACATATATATGCACATTGTTAATAATTTTATATTTAATTTATTTTGATTTTTAATAAAATGTCTATTTTATATAATTTATACTTATAGCTAAATTATCATTTTCATAAATATTTGCCTCATTGGATGAATTAATAAATGGCATTTCCGAAACTTTGTATTTTTCCTGTGCCCCCCCCCCCAAAATAACTGTTGACACTGAGCAAAATTCTTTTTAATGATTTTAACATTTGCTCTTACATAATATATGATATGTATTATATATATGTTAGTATAGGATACATACTGAAATGCAAATTTTGTATTTTAACCTGCAACACATTAAATAATTTTAATCATTGATACATTATGCTTTTATTTTCTAAATTTAAATTTACATAACTTCTTTATCAAAATAGTAGGAGAGACTATAATATAATCATATTTTTTTTTTTTTTTTACTTCTACTTTATGCATGGCAATACTCTTTTATTTATGCTGGATTATCTTATTTTGACCAAACGTGAAATTGATTGGCGACTTTTCACACTTGGCTATATAAAGCATTTTCTGATATTGCATTTAATGAGAAAGCCCTGTCGAGTTTAACCAAAAAATGAATAAATTTCTGAATTGTAACAAAATGTCTGTAAAAAAATATTTCTCAATTTATTGATAATTTATATTACAAAATATAAAAACAAGAATGAATCGTTAACCAGTGTTAATTTCTTGTGCAGTAACCTAACATTCTATTAACTTTGACCATAAATTATTAATTATTTTGACAAAATATTTTTAAAAAGACATATTTTGTTAAAGAAAAGTCTAAAATATGGAATATTCATTTTTTAGAATTCGAAGCAGTAAGAAGAATGCTCATTTAAAATATGTGAGGACATTATTTGTAGAAATTAAAAAGTTTCAATATATTATTTAAGCAGTGTTTTAATTGAAATTCTAGATATAGTACAACAATTAATTCACTTAAAATAACTGATTAATCATTTTACTTCAATATGCAAGAACTAAAATCATTTGAAAGCACGTTTTGGTACAAGTATCACTGACGCTTACCTCATTAGTCAATACAAGTAATTCCATGTGATGTAAAAAAAAAGAACAGTTCAGATAAAAAAGTTTTTTTTTACATTTTAATCAGGGCTGGATTAACCATTAAGTAATACAAGTACCTGCTTAGGAATCAAGGAAACGAGGCACAAAACATGATCCCTAGGTGTTCAGGAAAGAGAGCACCAAAAAAATATTTCCCATTGCTGATATTATCATACAATTCACGGTGCAGCTAAACCAAAATCCTAAAAAGGGAAGGAATGAAGGGAAAAAATGGTATAAACATATGTAAGGACACCAAAATCGTCTATGTCCTCAGGGCCTCAAAAGATCTTAATCTAACCCTGATAGTAATGTAGTGTAAGACGTTAAGTATTTTGTTTTAGCACAATAAAAGAAAGTTTGAGCAAATATATCACACATCACAAAGTGAAAAACACATATTTATTCCAAAACTATAAAAAAAAAGATGAAAGAGAGTTTAAGATTTTCATGTATTGCAGCAAAAATATTTAAATATGATACAATTTGGCACTTTGTATTACATTTAATTGACACTGAAGCACTAAGATCTATCTTCAGAATGCTATTTTAAGATGGAATTACTTTGTTTTCCAATATACATTAGGAAAGAATAAATTCTTTTCATCTCTCATTTTAATTTTACAAAGATCTAAATTCCTAAAATCTTCTTTACATTATTTATATTACACTAAATATAATATTTTGAGTCCAAGTATCAAAATTTATTCACTTAATTACTTTGAACACTGATAATGATAGATTAGATAATTGAGCAAATTAGTTTTATTCACTTCTTTTTCTTCTTACACTGACAATCTAGTTTATTACTTCAGACGATATTTCAATCAATCTAGAATTCAAACTAAAATTAGAAACTTAAATTAATCTGATACTCCATGAATTTATACTATTAAATACCACATTTACAAAAGATCCACAGTTCAATTACTTTAACTGATACTTAACACGGCAAAAGAACAAATATGTAACAAAAGTAAATAACATTTAAAATAATATTGAATTAGATCTCTCTTTTGGGTTGGGGGTACTTTCTAAATAATGAACTTTGTTCAAACTACATTGGCACATTAGAAAAACAGCAGCAATAACATCTATCACAGATAAAATTATTGTGGAATGATTTAAAACTAAATTAGCAATATTAATTAATTAATATTTTTACTATCTGTTATAATAAATATTACTTAATTTCATATGCTTCTAAAAACACTTAATCTATTAAAAAATTTATCATATTTTATTTATTATGAAAACATAAATAACATAAAAATATCATAATATAAAATTTTCAGTAAATTTTTAAACAAATTTACTATTTTTAAGAGCAGGAAAAAACGAGATAAAAATGGTAAAACAGTAACACATTTTAGTGTACCATGCTATCAGTGGTTTCATTATATAAGGACATAATTAATTTTAAAAGGTAGAAAAATAATGATAATTGAGAAACACATGATAAAATAAAGTCCTGCAGCAGTTTGTCTAAAATTTTAGAACTTCAAGTCACAAATTAATATTAGTCATAATACTCGAAGTTATGAAGCACTAATAACATAATTTTGCTTGAATCAAATGAACCATTTTGAATGACAAATATTTCATTTTTAAATGCCACATAATGAAATGACTAGGTAATGATTTTTAATGTTTTACACACAACTTGAAAAACATTAAAAATATCATAAATGCAATATACATAACAATCTATAAAATATAATGTTAGGTGCAACACCTAAGAATATTTGATATAAATAAAACAACCTCTTACAGTTTAAATTACTGTATGCAATGTAAACAAAAATCTACAGATATTCTAAATATACAGACACAATAATTTGATATTTACATGAAAATCAAAAAATAAAACTATAACTGATTATGAAAAACATTAATTACAAGAAAGAAAATATCTAAAAATACTTATGAAAATGTATTTTTTTACATTCAGAAGAATGGAATAATAATAGTATGTTCATAAAACTAAAAATAACTTCAATATTACCACACACTAAATTCTGAACCGACAAAAGTTTAAAAATGAGATACAAAACTTTATCTTCATTTATAACAACACAATACATTAGATTAGGATTTTTTATGATGACAATAATTTAGTGAACTACATATCATTCCAAATTTACAGTAATAAATAAAATCTGAAAACATAAATCTTCACTATTTGACCAATTTTTTTTCGCAATCAACATAATTTAACAACTTATAAAATACTGCAAAAATTTAATTGCAAAGGAAATTTCTGTAATGAATTAGATATGTTAAAAAATTAATGGAAAACGAATATAAAATTAAAGACACTCAATCTGAAGTACATGGATTAATCATCTTTTGAATTGCAAATATGAATTTTTATTTTCTCTATAGGGATATCGATCGTATTTGCGAAAATTGACATCATAACGAGGTTGAGCAGCTCCATTGCAAAGAGAGTCGTTGTTATTGGAATATATTGGTCTGAAAAGATGAAAAAATATGTAATATAGAAAAGGTAAAACTCTAAACATTTTATATAACTTGATTCTCACATGCCATATATACGTATGTTTAAGAGTGCAGAATGTTATGTACCAATAAACATACCCTTTAATGAAATTTGTTTGCAGTAGATATCCAACTGCCATATACAGTCAAAAGTCTTTAATCCGGACTCGTCGGGACTTCGGCGATTCCGGATTATCGATCATCAGTTTAAATCTGGTAAGATGTGCAGAAATTATAAAATTAAAAATATGAAACCGTAATTTATGAAATAAAGAGCAGTTATGTTCTAAAGGGTATCAAAATTTACAAAGAAAAAGCTTAATATTTATTTGTTTACTTTATTAAACATTTCTTTCAACGCGCACATGCGTACAGCATACATTACACATAGTCGAAATTAGAAAATTGCAACTAAAAAACTATTTGACGTGTATTCGTGATATTCATAATGACGAGGAATTTGATTTAAATCACATCAAAGACGGAGTACATCGAGATGAAATACTACATTTAGTAAGGAATTATAAGCCGAACAAAATAAAAACAGCTGCCCTGAAGATAAGGATAGTGCTGACAGTTCAACTTCCAGTTCACTGCATGGCGCGACATTCCCCTGCGCAGACCAGCGTGAAATTGATAAACAGATTTTGGAACAGTTAGAGAAACAAAGGAGCCTTTATCCATTTTTTGCAGTAATTCCACCTTTTGTTTGATGGACATCGAAACATGCTTTCCCTTTGTAGATCCAGCATCGGAAATTCTATTTGACATAATTGAAAGTTCCAACTTACTTTTATAAAACTGCTCTAACAGTCTGCAAAAAATAATAAGCCGGATCCAATTAGAAGATTAAGGAACAATGCAATCTGCAACATTAACTGAAATAGATAATTAGATAATTTTAGCTTAGCCTATACCGTCCGTTATACATTAAACGTGCATGCGTAAACGTATTATGCACATGCGTAAAGGTATTACGCGCTCCACTGATGCATGAACAGAACGCTTTGAGGTCAGGATTATAGATCATTCCGAATTATGGGCGTCCGGATTAACGACTTTTGACTGCACTATTTTATCACACATATGAGAATAATAAACCAGAATACATTCTTGTATCCAATTGCTGTTTTATAGGAACTTCATTTGCTAAAACATTTCCTAGAACAAATCCCTCTCACTTCCAGATGAAGAAAGTTTTACTGAAGTTGATATGACTGTGGGCAAAATTACAAAGCATGGAACTGAGAAAATCTGCATCAATTTGTCAAATTTCCGCATCTTATGAAAATTATTACATGGTAGAAACAAATGAATTATCGGACCTCTGCATATACAGTTAAACCTTGTTATAACAAATGAACCATTTGGTTCCATTCACTTTCCTGCACACTTATGTTATTTTATACTGTTATAGCAAACCTCCAGGGGTATGAAAACCAGATATGACAAACTGCATAGATATCTTTAAATTTTTTTTAATTATTTATTTTTCACATTTTTTCCAGCATTTCTACAAAAGTTTAAAGAAAATTTAAAGGAAAAAAAGGATTAACCATTTAAATCACTTACATTTAGGATATTAGGCTTCTCATTCTACAATTCATCCATAAAGGAAGAGGCCTACCTTTACATTATTTTTCTTTTATCTTCATCTCCATTTTTCTTGGTGCTCTAAAAAAAGCTTAACAAAACAGGTGCGACAACCAACTATGAGCAGAGGAGGACATAATAAGCATATTTAGGACACCATATGGTATATAAAACCACTAAACCAAAAAATACAAATGGTTCTCCGACTCCATCGAAATTCTTTGACTGAACTGAAAGAGAGAAGTTAAATTCAATGCTGATCCTCTGATGAAAATCTTGAAATTTTCACTATTCTGGAAAAAATGGAAGTAATGAATCTTATAAGTTTGTGGTTACTTAATTTCTTTTAGGGAATGAAAGGTTCTGATGCTTTTCAATTTACTTTTTGATAATAAAAGCTCTCCAATTTCTATCCTCTGAATAAGGGCTTTTTTTTTTTTTTTTTTTTTCCATTCTTTAGGACTTTTGCAAGACATAACATATTTTTATACAGGTTTTTGAATCTTTGTAGTGGAACTACACACATTTTGGGGAAACGATTGTGCTCTCTCTAAAACTGGAGAACACATAAGTGATGACACACATCTTCCTTTTTCATATTTTCCAACTCTCACATACATTTTAACCAGCCTTTCAGCAAGTTTTTGTGTCAAAATTTATCTGCTAGGTAAGCAGTAAGCATGAAGCTTCTACATTAAAGATAAGGTCAACATAATTTAAATATATATATAAAATCTATGCAGTCAAATTGATACCTAACAGAAATATTTAGTTTATTCAAAACTACTAGTGGTACCATATGAAAAAAATCTAAACTCTATAATTTCTCCTTTTGAAAAAATTTACATATGAGGAAAACATTGAGAAAGGCGGAACAAAGGAATGTTGAAAAAAAATGCTGAAATAGTTCACCAAAGAAACTGTAATCTGCCAGTACTTAGACAAATGCCAATGATTTTGAGAGACTAGAAAAGAACGAACAACTAATTTAATAATTGTTCTTGATAATAATTACAATTAATTCTTAATATGATTTTTAATTAAATTTATTATTCACCTCTTTCGGTATATGTGACAATGTTAATCGATTATTGTCTTTATTCATCATTCAATTTTCACATGTTTTTGCGAGATAATTCATTTTTCTTGTGGAACTGGACATACTGAACCAAATTTTTGGTCCCTTGAAGTTCATTACTGTGGAGTTTCACTGTACAATCAATTTGGTAAAAGTTAGTGTGAATTGTTCAGAAGCAGAAAGAGCTTTCACAGGTCTTTTGGAGAGAACACGTGTTAAAAACAATCCTAATAAGTGCTGTCTTTCTGAACGTTATTTTGTACGAACTCATTCAAGGTGAAATTTGCATTACAAATCTGAGGCAAATTGAGCATGTCTATGGCCAAAATTATCAAACATGGAGCTCGGAAAACCTGCCCCACTTTATTTAGTCTCCTCTGCATCTTGTGAAAACTGTCGTGTAGCAGTTTAGTGCCTTAAGGAGAACGAACATAACTTCTAGAGAAAGCAATACGATGTAAGCAAGATAAGTCATACAACATATTCCACCATAAAAGATCTTAGAGGAGGTTTTGGTGACAAAATTCTATCTCCAAACCAAGACCACCAAGATCTCCAGTTCTTACCAATGCAAATTACCTTTGTGAAGACATACTTCAAACCAATTCTGTTCATAAATAATACATAGATCTTAGAAGAATTGGGCATTATGGCAGCCATTCTGAGTATAGATAAACAGAAACTTAATCATATTGCTAGGGACATGGTGAAATGTGTAGACTATTGCAGGGAACTCAAGGAATGTCATTTCCAGCAATGGCAAGGTATGTCATAAGATTATAGATTTATTATTTCTATGTACGGTACATTTTTAAACTGAATATACTGTATTATATCAATTACTTAAAAAAATTCAGTTTTATTCAAAAATGATGTGATGTGTTATCCAGAATGAAACAGTTAACATATGCAAAAAATTAGAGAAAAAGGAACATGTTTGGCAATCTATATTTTGCCCTATATAGCTAAATGTACAATGATTACTTTAGTACTGAACTGAATATGCATATTGCATGAGAAAATAAATGGGAGGTTTTTAAAACTCTCAAGTTACACTTATGCTTAAGTGTAACTTACAACTATAAAAATAAAGAAAAATGTAGTGCCCAAGTAAACATCAAAATAAGCTATTATCATTATTATTATTACATTCTAATAAGAATCAAAAGATAGAAAGAAATTTTATAAAATTTATTAATTTTTTTTACACTATGATGAAAACAAGGAGCAATTTTTATTTTTAATTAGCAGATCATGCAATCACGCTTCACAATAAGTTACTCACAAAGGGATAGTTAATTCACTAATGGATAACAGCTAATGACGGAAACTGCTAATAACAGAACAATTATTTACTACTCTAATTTGAAAATTTACATAATGTATTACTCAGAAACAAACTTATACAAAAAAATTACAACAGCAGATTTTCAGAAAGCTATTTCAACAACAGACATGTGAATTAAGTCCCTCAGGAATTTTGTGATAATTCATTTCACTTTCATTTAATATTTGAGGTATCCATTTCTGTTTCACAGTATTGATTAATTCCTGGAAACATGTTTTATGTGTTCCTGCAACATTTTTGGCTTCCCTTTCAAAAATGTAAAAAAAAAAGCAAATGTATATTATATCAGCAAAGATGTAATTTGCTTTCTCAGCATCACCTTCTTATAATTGGATTTAAGCTCATAATCCCAGATTAAAAGTCTTAAAAATTAACACTTTGGAAAAGAGAGTTGTCAGTTGCTTGAAAACTACTAAAAAGTTCTGAATGACAAAATCATACATTTAGCAATATAAACACTGAATGCTCTGAACAGAGAGATCAAGACTCCTGAACATTGAAAATTTTTATAATGTCATGTGAAGCAATTTTTGGTATTAGAAGCGAGGTGGTTCAAGGAGATTTTGTGTAGACTACCATCACTTGAACGACATCATGAAGAAAAACAGCTACCCTCTTCCTATATATGATGACATTCTGGACACTCTTTCTTGAAGCAAGTGGTCTTAGATGCTTGATTTAACAGGGTTTGTACACATTTCTGCACATGGAAATTTAAGTACTTTTAAGGACCTATGAGCAAATGGGAACTGAATAAATTCCATTAAAAATATTATTCTATGCCTGAATTTCACTTTTGTAATACCACCCTAAAAATAAAATAGATCCCTAAGTAGTATGCATTATTACTAAACATGAATTAACTAACATAATTATTAATAAGTTTGAGAATAAAATAAACTTCATGCAATTTATCAAGTAGCATTAAATATTTTACACTTCTTAATAGTTGGA